TATATTTTATAATTTATTATTATTATTATTATTTAATTTACATACTTACATAATACTCTCAGCACTGTATTTGCCTCAATGACATCAGGAAAAAAATCAGATTTCGCCTTACAACTGAAATGAACCCCATCGTCAGAATGTCTCGCCACAAATACAATGCCACTTTTCACGGATACTCCACCAAAACTAGCATTAAGAATTTCTGTGTAATATTCTTCTTCAATTTTATTATTTCGCAACCATGTTATACCTAATTTAGGATTGCTAGCGCCTGTCTGACAAATCAACGTCACCTGTAGGACAATACAATATAGAATTACAATTACAAATTCTATTTCGTTTAACTTCAATAATGCTTAATTTATATATTTCTACCTAAAAACAGTTATAAAACTGAAAAAAAAATTGAAAATTTTTATGAGATCCCCTTTCATATCAATTTGTCTATTAGATAAGTTTTATTATATGTAAAATAGCATTAATTAAATGATGATACATGCATTTTAGAGTATTGAATTTTATTTATAATAAACTATATAAATAATATTGAATATGGATCTTTAACATTTTTATTTTCTTTGATGTAAACAATAATAAACAATTTAATGGCTTTTGCGGTAGTAGAGAAATTTGTATTACTTAGAAACTTGATCAATATATTTTAATAGTTATTCTCGATATTTTGCATTGTTTCCTTAAATAAATACGAATTACATATGATATATCATTCATGTTAAGTTTTAATTTTAGCTAATTACAAAATAATAAGTTAAACTCGTGTTTCTAACTAGTAGGTCGCGATCACCCGGTTTCTTTGACGATATGAATGCATGAGTAATGGATTTTAATTTTTGATTATATGGATAGTACCACTGTATTTCTGTGTTACTTGAATTTTAATTGTATTCAAATATTTTTTATAATGCGGCTTTCTTTCTATCAAAAAAATTTAGAAAATAATATTATTACATAAAATGAAACATTTCAAAGAATTTCCAAACATTTATAATTTAATTATAGTACTTTGGGTTATT